GAGTTCGAACTGCCCTTAGTGACTCCTGCCAATGCTACAATTTTCATGGAAGAAACTGAGTAAGTTATCCGGGATTTTACTAAGTAAAACCATTCAACGTTCAAGAGTGCTTTTACAGATCCCTCAGTTTTGCCCAGCAGCTGTACCATGTCTCCTTCATGTTCTACAGCGTTATGGGCGCCCTTGTGGGCGTGACCACCGCCCATTTGGCTGGCTTTGTCTTTGGCCGAAATAAGGCCGATGATGTGGATATTGATCTGCTGTCGCCCTGCATTCGCGGCTTCCAGAAAGCGACCTATTCCAGCGTAAATCTGGACGAGAACATCTTGAAAAGTTTTAATGAGAAGTCGTAGAAAGTAATACCATGCCATGTACTTGTCAATAAAATATATTCTTAAGCAGCACTTCAAGTTTCTTTCAGTAAAACTAGGATTGTTTGCCTGTAAATAACACATCTATTTAGCACTGCATGAAACTAAAATTTCGCCTTAGTTAACTTTACACTGAAATATTTAACATCTAACCAAAATCCCTTAACCCTCTAGTACTTCCAATTGCGCTATGGTGCTGGCATACGCAACTTGGGTTCGGTCCTCTTTATATTGGGAACGGTGAGTCTGCAACATTTAATTACCTTTACCCACTCACAAACTCTCTGCTCAATCCCTGCAGATGCTCTGGCTTCCTGTGGCCTTATATGTACCGGCCATCACCTACAATCAGGGTGAGTTTGATTATGGTTAATGTAAAATATTTATAATGTAATGCCTGCATATATGCACTCAAAAAATGTAAGCTTATAAGCCAAACTTAAATTTGATTCTTTTTTTTGTTATTTACTTTTGAGCATAAAGTAGAGCCTATCTTACTAACATATTAAATTATTTTGCCAATCAGATTGTTATTTATATTTCATTGGTTTTTATATTTATGCAATTTTTATTGAATTGTAGTAAGGCGAAATAATTTCTAGGTGTATGCAACCATTCCAATTTATTGATTTATTACTGTCTTCCAGTCACTGGTACTGGCATCCATGTAATTACGCCCATTGTCTGCACTATATGCACTTTCTACACGTGTGTGGTAAGGTTTAATTAAATTTAGCCACCAAATTGTCGAACGGTGGCAACTCAAAGATGTTGTGATTTCAGGGAGGACTGAAGGCCGTCATCTGGACAGATGTCATTCAGAGCTTCGTGATGTTTGGTTCCATTTTGGCGGTCTGCATTAAGGGCACCTTCGATGTGGGCGGACTGGGCGTGGTCCTGGACCGCAATGTCAGTGGCGGACGTCTTAATGCCCCAGAGTACGTCTACGTGATGATTAATGTTCCTAGTAATTGTGTGGATATTCTAAACCGGCAGATGGACATGGGATCCCACAGTTCGGCTGTCGATGTTATCTGTGATTCTGGGCGGCACACTGCACAAGATCCAGTCCTCGGATGTGAACCAGGTGTCTATTCAGCGATTCCTATCCCTGCCAAGTTACGACCATGCCAAGCGTTGTATGCTGGTTTTCACACTCCTATTAATATTCCTGCTCAGTTGCTGCAGTTATATGGGTCTGGTGTCCTATGCCGTTTACCACGACTGTGATCCTATAAGTACTAAGGTAGGCTTATATTTTCCAGAAAATGTTCTCTTAAATTTGTAGATTTTATAGAACTATTAATTATGTTATTAACAATTTAAATATATAGAAAATTTTTAAGTATGAAAAAATTCATTTTACTTCACAGTTAGCCGCTGCCGTTGACCAACTGCCTTCCCAGCTTATGATGCGAACTTTGGGTTCTCTACCTGGGTTGCCAGGACTATTTGTGTCTGGGGTTTTCAGTGCCGCCCTGAGCTCCCTGTCCACGGGTCTAAACTCCCTGGCCTGTGTGATTACTCAGGATATCGTACGACCCTTGCTGAAAAAACCGATGACGGAGCGCCAGACGGCTTTTTGGTTGCGCGCAGTCGTCGTTGTTTGCGGATTCTCCTGCCTTGGAACGGTCAACATCGTGGAGAAGTTGGGACAAGTGGTTCCATTGGCCACCAGCACAGCGGCAGTTTCGATGGGTCCGCTTTTGGGCATTTATTGTATGGGCGTGGGGCTGCCATGGGTTAAAGGAAAGGTGAGGCCTAAAATTGCTTACACATAAAAATTTGTGCTTACAACAATGACGGCTAAAGCTTAAATCTATTTTTATAAATATAAATAATTCGATTTTTATTATTATTATTTTTTTCCTAGCTTTTCGATATAAACATGTTTCATATAAAAATTCTATTCATAATAATACCAGCTAAAGCTTAAATATATTTTTATAAATAAAAATAGTATGATATTACTTTTGTTTACTTTTTAATTATTTTTAGAGCGTCTTAATTGGCAGTCTGGTGTCCTTTTTGGTGGTGGCCTGGATATGTGTCAAGGCGCAATTGGCTCAAATGAATGGTGAAATTCGCTATCCCAAACTACCCGTTTCAGTTGATGGTTGTGACTATGCCTATGATAACCATACAGTCTATGAGACCATCCACGGGTACAGGTAAGTATGGGAAACCAGTGATTAGCCTATTCTTAAAATTGTGTTACACTTTTTTAGACCCTCGGTGAGAAACCTCTACCATTTGTCGTTCCTTTGGTATACGGCTCTGGGCGGTGTAATTTGTACTGCGGTCGCGGTATTAGCTGGATTGATTTTCGGCTGGGAGGATCTCAATAAAATGGATCCGGCCTTAATTACGCCCTGTATGCGACGCTTTTTGCCCAAAAAAAACTATAAGGCTGTTAATATGCAGGATCTCTTTAAGCGAAAGGTCGAAATTGAGACCGAAAGTCCCTCTTAAGCTTTGATAATAAACATGTACTTTCTGTTGTGCCAAATGCTTTGTTTTCTTTTGTGTGCTTGTGTATCCCAGCGTGCTTCATTTACCCAAAAGTATCCTGTACATAATCATGTATCCTATAAACTTGTTGTTTTTGTTTCTGTTTGATTTCGTTTATCGCAGTACTTCGAAAGACGTTTCGATCGGAGGGTTCGCGTCTTTGGATCCTGCCTCTTTGTGGTGATGAACGTAAGTAGAGTTATGAAACATTCATAACTACAAATTAAATAATAATTTACTTTTCTAGATATTGTGGCAACCCATCTGCATTTATGTTCCTGCCTTAACGCTAAATCAAGGTAAGTGCATTTCTAAGGTAAAAGCATAATCTTAAATTGAATTTCTTATCTTCTTTTTTATAGTTTCTGGAATAAGTGTCAATAAGATTGTACCTTTTACAAGCTTTGTTTGTATTTTATACACCAGTGTGGTGAGTATAAGGATCAATTCATCTTATATCTCTTATCTTATACTTTTGAAAAGGTTAATTGACTTAAATGTATAATTTTAGGGTGGAATTAAGGGAGTCGTTTGGACGGATGTCATTCAGGGAATCGTAATGTTTGGTTCCATGGCCATTGTTATCGTTAAAGGAACAATGGATTTAGGTGGCTTGAGCGTTGTGTTAGACCACAATCGTCAGTACGATCGCCTCGTGGGTCCAGAGTAAGTAAATGTTTCTAAATACCCAAATATTTGCCATCAAAACAACTAATTTTAGCCTGACCTTTGACCCGACTGCGAGAATGGGAGTGTTTGCTTTGTTTGTTGGTGGCGCTTTGTTCAAGCTTCAGGCAAATGGAATTCATCAGGCCATTGTCCAGCGTTATCTTACCCTGCCAAATATTCGTGACGTGAAGAGGACTTTGGTTCTATCCCTTATTGGCTTCATGATGATTATGTTGATGTGCGTTTACATTGGAATGCTGGCATTTGCTGAGTTTTATCATTGCGATCCAATCACAACAGGAGTAAGTCTTAAAAAAAATGCAACAATAATATCTCTGTTACTTCTGTTGATATTTTAAATTATTTTATTTGTGTTTTTACTATACAACTTCTATTGCAGCTAGCTCGTGCCAAGGATCAAGTTATACCCCTTTATGTGGTCAAAAACGTTGGCCACATTCCCGGCCTGGTGGGTCTATTTGTAGCTGGGGTTTTCAGTGCCGCCCTGAGTTCCCTTTCGACGGCTTTGAATTCCCTTTCCGGTGTGATTCTCAAGGACTTTGTGGAACCCTACCGAAAGAAGCCTCTGACGGAACGTCAAACCGCCTATTTACTGAGGGGAGTGGTCGTCTCATTTGGCCTGATCTCGATGGCCAGTGTACCGATTGTCCAGAGACTCGGCCTGGTCATGCAGCTATCCTCCACAGTGGCTGCCATTACTTGTGGTCCACTCCTCGGGGCCTTTAGTGTCGGCATGCTACTGCCTTTTGTTAAGACAGAGGTTTGATTTATTGTGGTTGCATAACGAGAATATTTCTTTAAAGTATCTATGTTTTTAGAGCCTACTTACTGGCATATCGTGTGCCTCAAGTTTCACAGCCTACATTGTGGTTAAAGCCCAAATTGCTATTTTCACAGGAGCCCTGACCTTCCCAGCGAAACCTGTTTCTGTGGAGGACTGTGACTATACCTTTGATCTTCCTGACAACTGGAATGCCACCAACACAGCGTATGTAATTGTTCCAAGCGATGAAAGTGCGTTGAAAACTTCCTAATTGGATATTTTTTCTTATTTTATACAGAACACCAACCGTGTCCAGCAGTCATGGCATTCATGAGATCTCATTTCTCTGGTACACCGCAGTGGGTTCGGTGGGTACCGTACTTGGATCTCTACTGGCCACTCTCTACTTTAGCCGACAGGATCCCCGAGTGGTGGATAAGGAACTTGTTAGCCCTGTCGTGCAAAAATATTGGTATGGAAAATACGAAAGTGTGGCCACTGAAGAAAAAACTGAGTTAACTCTCCATCAATCGGAAACGCAGCCAAAATTTGAGCAGTCTGAAATGTCATAGAGATAATCATTATCTTTTATTGAATCCCTAAAATATATTTATCGAGTATGCAAAACCCAAAGCCCTGTAGTTTTCTCTTAGTTATAAAAATTGTTTTGTACGCTTACTTAGCTAACTTTTTTAGGTCTGTCCTCTGATCAGAAATGTTTTAAGATTCCTTATTTATACACACTCACTCTTTCAGTATTTTGAGAGACGTTTTAGTCGGCGAATGCGAATATTTGGAGCTAGTCTGTTTGTTTTGAAGGCGGTAAGTTTACTATTTAAATTCAAATATTGGTCTTAATACAATATCAATTATATTAACAGATTATATGGCTTCCCATTGCTGTCTATGTGCCTGCGCTAACCTTCAATCAAGTGTCTGGAATTGGTATACATACCATCACACCCATAGTGGTCATCATCTGCACCTTCTACACCTGCGTGGGCGGAATTAAGGGCGTGGTCTACACGGATGTTGTCCAGAGCGTAATAATGTATGGATCCCTAATTGTGATTATGATCAAGGGCACCTTAGATTTGGGTGGCCTTGGCGTTGTGTGGCAGATTAATCAAGAGGGTGGACGTATTAATGCCCCCGAGTAAGTTGTATTTTAAATAACATAATTACTTTTAACTTTACTTAATTACTTAATTACTTTTCATGCTCAACAGATGGACTATGGATCCCACAGTGCGACTGAGTGTGTTCTCTGTGTTCGTGGGTGGAGCCTTCTTCAAGTTGCAGAGCACCTCGATTAACCAGGCCACTGTTCAGCGATTTATGTCACTACCCTCGCTGAAGGCTATCAAACAGACCCTCATTACCTTCTCCATTGGATTGACACTGCTCTATATGGGATGCGTCTATGTGGGATTGGTGTGCTATGCAACTTACTATGACTGCGATCCCATGTCCACAGGAGTAAGTATTCCTTGAAAGTTTGTTAATGAGCAAGCGAGTAAGCCTGCTACTTATTGTCTTTGCTAGTAGTCAAACAGTATATGATAATTTATAGACTTATTACATTTTTTATGTTTTAAATGTTAAATATTGTCCACTGTCGCCAATTCCTGGTTAATCCATTACCAAAATTTTTTTTAGCTTGCTGGACGACGGGATCAGTTAGTTCCGCTGCTGGTGATGCGTGTTCTAGGCGTTGTGCCTGGTCTGCCAGGACTCTTTGTGTCGGCCGTGTTTAGTGCTGCCCTGAGCTCCTTATCCACGCTCCTCAACTCCTTGGCCGCCGTTATCCTGGAGGACTTTGTGCGGCCGCGCATGGGAAAAGCGATGAAGGAGAGCCACGTGGCTCTGACCATGCGCGTGGTGGTGGTAACCTTCGGCATTAGCTCCATTTTCATGGTCTATGTGGTAGAGAAACTGGGCATGGTGCTGCAGCTGTCGGCTACGCTTCAGTCGAGCTTATACGGACCGATGTTGGGCATTTTTGTGGTGGGAATGCTTATGCCTTGGGTGGGCGAAAAGGTAAGTTAAATATACGAGAACTTCTTTAAAAGGTGACTAAAATATTCCATTTCAGTGTATTTTCGTGGGCAGTATTTCGTCCTTTTTAACCATGGCGTGGATAGCGGTGAATGCTCAAATAGCCAACATTACCGGTTCCTTCCGGCACACCAAACTGCCCGTTTCGGTGGAAAATTGTGATTATGACTTCGATATGAGTCGCTACCTGAACTCCACTTCGGAATAGTACGTTTGCCTCAGTCATATAACATTAAAAACTTGAATTGAAAGAAATATATTTCCCATTAGCGAGCCTCACAGCGGATCGTCTGTATATCACATGTCATTCCTATTATACGCCATGCTGGGAGCCCTGCTGACCATTTTTATTTCTAACTTGGCTACGTTCGTTTTTGGGCGTCAGGATATAAAGGATGTGGATGAAAATTTACTGTCTCCAATTCTCCAGCGCTATTTGCGAAAGAACAATTACTACGAATCTGTAGAGCTCAAGAAAGCAGGGGATTTGAAGGTCAACGAAAGTTCCGATTAAGGAACACATAATGAAAAGATAACGTCAAGCTTTGTGTATGGTGATACCATTTATAAAGAAGCTTTTTGTAGACCTGACCATCTTGTTCCTCTTGACCTGTATGAAAGAATACATACGTCAACATATACTTTAAATTTCTTTATTTTGTTAAATACTTTCAATATTCGGTTTTTAAAGAGGCTTGTAAACCTAATACAACTGAACTAATACATATTTATTTTAAACCATTTTTTCTTTACTTAAGTACTTAAATATTTTTTGTTGTATTCCTTTAAGCCGCGTAAAACTTGTGCACATATCTTAAGATCATTTTCTTAATTTTGGCTTTCTGTTAAAGCTGCCAGTTGCAAAACATGATAAGAATTTCAAAAGCGAAGGATTCATTACCCATGTAGTGCAACTGGTTGGCATACCAGACTTGTAAAACGAAATATAAATAATGTAGTAGCACTATTTGCCATCTGACTGACCAATTCCACATTTTTTACGGTGAACTAACCTTCGCCGGGGTATCGGAACATTGCGGACGTAGGGCGGATAGGTCATGGCCGGAAGGCAGACAATCTGATCTTGCCTGTTGCTCAAGGATCGGCATAGGCAAGTCCTTGAAGAGGGTTGTGGTTGAGAGAACCGCCCGGAAATGGACGAAGTGCGACCGGAGAGATCCGGCATGCTGTAAGAAGTGGATCGCCTTTGCAAAACCGGCGTATTTGTATGTTTCGATGACGACCGCGAAGTTCTTTGGCTTCTGGTCATAGGTTCCTGATTAGTGCACGAGGTGCACATTTGATAAACCAGAGGCGCCTGCTGCTGGCACAATTGGTGCTGTGGAGATTTGGGCATGAATTCCGATGCATCGTCACCAGTGCTTCTTTTCGAGAGGTCTGGACTGGAACTCCTGCAGCGTCTAACACGTTCTGCGTTCTGAACCTCCTGGCAGCCGCACTTCCGCTTCCGTTCCCGCTCCTGTTTCCGGTCCTTCTCCAAATCCCGCTCCTCCTTGCGCCGTTGCTTGTTCACCTTCGCCTGATTGAGCGCTCTGTAGTGCACTGTTTGGTTGTCGATGAGCATTTGTGTAACAAACTTGAATTGGTTCAAGTTCGTTTCACTCTGAGCGCTTATTTCTAAGGGGTAAAGGTTGAACACTTGACAATAAAATTGCTTTGAAATAATGGGTTCAATAACGGGTTCATTGAAACGTGATTAATTTTTTTTTATTAATCAGATGTGTTTCTGACGGTAGCTATAATTCAAATACGAATTTTGATACGAATTTTTCATAAACTTAAAATATCATCTTAATAATATTTTAATCTTGAGATCGTAATAGGGAGAAATATATTTAGAAAATATATAATACAAGCAAATTGTTGTGGTAGTAAAAACCAAGACAATTATTTTTTTTCTTAAATATTGAAAGTACTCTTTTTCAAACACTTACTGCTGGTGACATCACGATGGATTTTGTTGAGTAGAGTTTTCTGCTGCTCCAGCTCATTGGATAGTCGCTCCATCTTGGTCAATGACTCCTCGAAGCACTTGGACACCATTCGCTGAACGGCCTCCTGCACCGACTCCAGGACATTGTCGTGAATGATGCTGAAGAAGTCGGCGAAGGATTCCTGCAGGTCGCGATTGGGATCGTTGCTGGCATTGTAGGACATTTTATCCTTCTGGCGATCGTCGCCGGCTGTTTCACGTATTGTCTTTTTACTCTGGCAATCGACGGGTGTCAGCCGGAATGCCACACTTCTGGAGGACGAATCCTTATCCCGAGAGGAGCGGGATTTCGAAAAATTCCTCTGGTGTTTAGGTCGTTTGTTCTCAGCAGAGAACCTGATTTCCGATCGATTTCGTGTCTTTTCGCCGGCTGCTGAATTGCGACCGCTGCTACGCTGGATGTGATCCTTGGTGGAATAGCCTCTTCTTATAACATCATAGCCCGACTGTCTAGCCGACTTCGTAAAGCAGTAATTTGGAAACATTTTGACGAATTTTTTAACTGTAAATCGATTTAAAACTGGCGGTTGCTAATCCTATATAATCAAGTCGTCAAATGGGCATCGATCTGTGCTGTGTGTTTACGTTCGGTTGTAATTTATTGTCAATTTTCGATGTTTTGCAATTTTCAGATTTTTCTAAGCTATTAATTTTGAAAGATAAAGCTAAAATAGGTTTGTAACAAAAAAAATGTAATATATCTTAAATTGCATAATTTTAAAAGCAGCTAAAATAAATTTGCTTTCAGTTCTGTACTGTTTTTGTACACGCAAAATCAGATAATGACTACTAAGCATTCATAAAAGCCGTGGAAAACAATAATTAAAACCAATGAAATCATCAGAAATATTCATTAGTAAATCATTTGAACCGTTTCTTATGTCAAGCGCGGTCTTGATTATTAACTTATTTGCTAATAGCATTTCAATTAGAAGTTGGTAAACAAATTGCAAAATTATAATTGCAAAAATTTTGCAACTGCCCGCCGTCTGAAGTAAGCTTCTTAATGTATTTTTCTCTCTCCTTCGAGCTCAATAAAGCGAACGGCCCACTGTGAAAGGCATTGCTACCAACAGGATCTGAAATAAATTTATTTGCCGAGTGTCCCATCAAGTTTCCATAGTTTCCATCTGCTCACCCAAGCGATTAAATATCAGGAAGTGGAGAACGCAAATTCACAAGGGGTGAAGCCGTTTATGAAATATACCCAACCACAAGGCAAACATAAACAGATTCACTCGAAGTTGGCATGGTAAATTTGCCATTTGCAGACAATATAAGTAAATGATATAACTGTTTGCTTGGCCCACAGAAACCAATATGTTTTCATTGTCTGCCCGGTTTGTCGCTCAATTTATCTGTCATGTTGACTTTCCACCAATGACGTCAGTTGAGGCCACAGACAATACCACATAATCGCAACAATTATAATTGGTGTGAGGGCAAATAGCGTCCTTGTGCCCATTGTTCAGTGGGGCGAACTTAAAAGGAAGATTTTCCAGCGCGTGCTGGGAAAATGAAGGATGCGGTACACTCGAGAAGTCGCTGCCTTTATTTTGCGTCTACACATAATTATGAAATAAATATTAGCTTAAACCAAATTGACTACAACGTTATGCTCTATTAACTCTTATGGTATACTTATGCTAAATGAGATTTCGCTTAACATGCTTGGGCATGTTATATACCATTACGAGTGGCTATATACACGGATGAGTTGGAATTTCAATGGCCCTAACAGCTAGTTAGGACTGCAAGGAAATGCATTTTAAGTTTCTGGTAAATGGCCGTAATTCTCACAAAAATAAAATCAGTCTGTTAAATAGAATAAAAGTAAAAGAGCGTCTTAAGTGAGCTTATAAATGGACTGAAACCTAGACTATCAGGGGTTTCACAAAAATCTCAATAACTTTTTAAATCGATTGCCTTGCAAATCGCTTAGAGTGTCACAGAAATTCGTTTCAAAAAGCAAAACAAAGGGCGCTTAAGTTATAACTAAGTAGCAACTATAAGTGGAAAGATTAAACTAATATATGTTTTATTTATGAAAAGCATTCGTTTAAATAATAAATATGTAAAGCCAGTTGAAAGTGCAATTACTGTGACACCTATACTAGGGAGATTCCATTGCTAACTCTCAAGATTCTTACTATATTATTGGTATTAAGTAAAAGTCATACAAATTCCACTCTAGATCATGCATTACCTTAACTATAGATTGGTATTGGGCACATACAAATAGGTTTGAAATTCGTAAACTTGGCGTACTTACGACTAAGGACCTACATTTGGCTTTCTCTATGCCATGTACAACTATCGAACTTATTGTCTAAGCCTCTGGTGCATTCACAGGATGGGCCCGCTTCCTATTTAAAGGAACTCCGCGTCGCTGAATGAAGTGGGTCCGTGGATCGCGAAAGCGGATCTCTTGCGAGTTGTGTGGGCCAGCTATCATACCTCTGACATGGCCGGCACGGTTACCACCTTGGTGGGTCTTTCGCAGATGACCACTCGGGCGTTTGTCTTGTTGGTGGACCTCCGGGAAACGGTCAACGAGGTGGTCAATGTCCTCATCGAATCGCAACTGTTGTGCAAACGGCGACCCACTGTGTGACAGCGATTTTGTTGCGAATTGTTGCGGTACGACTTGCAGCAGCAGGTAAACCATTTGAAGGGCGGAAAACGACTGGACAGGTACAATATAAAGGAAAGAATATGTGTTAGTTCCATTATAAATGTGAATGAATGTGTTAAAATTGCGACTGATTTATAAATACTTCAATAAGTAAAAAAGAATTTATAAAGCTTAAAGTTGATTTTAATTAATCTTTTAATTGGACTATATATTTTAAAAGAACATGACTTACCTTAGTGTGCGAAAGACCTGCGAGGAAAAGAGGCAGTATATCAGGGGGTTTGCTGCCGAATTCAATGGTGCTAGACTCTGGATGAATGTGGCGATTGCTATGTTGGTTTGCGAGTGCGGAATCTGGCCAAAGACCTGCAGCAAATCGAAAATGATGTAGGGTGACCAGCAGATGATGAACACAAACACGATGGTGAGTGTCATCTTGACCGTTTTGACCTTGGCCCGCGGAATAATGCCCCTTGAACTTGCACGCCTTGCAGGTGCGGCTCCAAATCCAGCTCGCTCTGAATCAATTTAATTAATTTAAAAAATTCATAATGTATTTAAAAATTCAGTATGTTTTCTCTTCTTGAGTTAGATTTGAATGAATCAATCTTACCTGTTGGAACGAAAATAGATCCTTTGGCCCAAATCGTCTTCACGATGATTGCATAGCAGGCGGAGATGATCAACGCCGGAACCGCAAACAGAGTGGCCGATACCAGACTCATGTACACCTGCCATGCTATTGGTGAGCCCAGTTCAATCCAGCACTGCGGATGCCCCTGGATCAGCTTCTCCTCGTACAACACCAGGATAGGTAGAGAAAATAATGCAGAGATGAGCCACGCGCCGGCCACAAGATGACGCGCTCTTTTCCCTATAAAATATATACAGATAAGTTTCCATTTTATAATACCTACATCTTCATTTTTATTTAACTCAATTAGTGACTATAAAAATTAAAGAAAGCTAAAATAAAATCGCTCTCATGTTTGTTTTTCATTATTATATATTCACATGTATTAAATATGCTATTGGTACTTCAATTGTTATCATCATAAAATCATTTGATCAGCTTAAAAGTAAAACTCAATTTACAAAAATTGCAGCAAGTCTTAATCCAAAAGAAACCACAAACAGCGCTTTGGCTAACAACATTTGGCAATTAGAAAACTTTTCACTCGACGACTTAACTTACACGACTTTGAGAAGTTCATCGGGTGTGTGATGGCGTCGTATCTGTCGATGCTCATGGCCACCAGCACGTAGGTGGACGAGTATGTGACGCACACCTGCGAGAAGCGGATGACCTTGCAGGCCAGGTTGCCCGCCCGCCACGAAATCGTGATGCGCCATATAATGTCCGTCAGCACGTTGAGCAGTCCCACGAACAGATCTGAAAATAATAGACTGGGAATTGGAAATCAGGGAAAAAGAGAAGTCCATCGCCAAACTCACCTGCCAAAGCCAGCTGTTTGATAAAGTAGTTCATCCGCGATTTCCGATTCTTGTTGATGAACATCACGAAGAGCACCGCCGAGTTTCCCACGACGATTATGGTAAACAGGATCCACAGCACCGCAAACTGCTCGGTCTGCAAAAGGATCAGAGTTTGGTCACATTTCATTAAACGCCTATCAAAATCATTGTCAGCAAAGTGTTAAGGACGGAAATCACGCATAAAACTCAATTTAATTCTCCCTGAGCACACACACACACACTCACGTTGTTTATGGCTCCTTAAATAGCCATAAAAATGATAGAGCTATGAATTCATGGTGGCAGGACCAGCGGGCAGGATGTGCCAACGGAAGTTTGCTTCTTCTTCAAGTTTGGTACTAACAGGACTAGGTCAACACGGCAACCTACGCACACAAGCACAGGTGGCCTCTCACCCACACACTGCCATGGTGAAAGACAGCCAGCCAGCGATTTTCCAGCAGGAAATTGCTGCCAGGATGAAGGAATTGCACTCCCAGAAATATTTTTATTTTATTCTTAAAAAGGTACCACAAATTCCAATTGTATTTAAACAATAAAATGTACAAATTTTCAAGATAATTCTCTAAAATCTAAACGATTGAAAATGTGGTATTTGGTTTAGCATTCCAAACTAATAACGAATAGTGATTTAATGCGGCATATCAGTAAAATTTGGTTTGAAAACAACATTGCTTTTTATACAATCAACCATTTCATTCTTAAACCTTTCTTAAACACATTTCTGGTTTAATTTTGAATAGTAAATTTACATATTTCTGACGAATGCAGAAAACAAGTGTTCTAAATTATTTCAAAGTGTAACCGTGACAATAAATAGTTGTGGCAGTTTTTCCTGAACAAAGTGAAATATTCTTCAGATATTTTAATAATACCAATAAACTGCACCGCATCTTCATTTTTTAACAAATTAAATTTGCGTCTAACGCGTCTGCCAAGTCTCACATCTATTGAAGGTAAGTTTGAATTATGGCCTCGGGGTCTTGCAGTCTGACGCCAACACCGATGCTAATGTGGACTTGCCTTAAGGGCAAGAAAAGTAAACTTGTCCCGAAAAAAGTTGAAATCTTGACAGGCTTCGTCCTTGGCGCTGCGCTCAGACTGAACACGCCCCACCTTATGCTACAACTTTTTGCTGCCCATACTTGCAGTATTCACTTTTTCGGTTTTTTTTCGGCCTAAGTGCGAGCTGTATATATATATATATATACAAAAAAATAAGAAGGGACAGATACATTTTTCGTTCCGGAGACTTTTTGGCGCTGGGAACCTTAGACCGTTTTGCTGTCTGCCAGTCCATCATGTTGCGCAAATTGGTGCATAAATCAACAAATGAGCAAACGGCTATTTTTACTCATTTTTTGCACATCCTGTCTGCCCCGTTTTTCATTGTTCGCCGGTGTCGCGTTTATTATTAAATGTGGCTGCCTTCATTTGTTAGCAGTAAAAATTTTCGCATTTCTTCGCCAGACTTTGATTTGAATGTTTTACCAGATAGTGACTTGGCGGGTTTTCTTAAAGCCTTCATCGGTTTGGTGTCCTGAGGTGTTTGTGTTCGACAGTTCAAGTGCAATTTTCTAGCATGACTTTCGGGAAAGTATATTCGCGCTTGAAGCGAAGTTAAGGCGGTCGGAACATTTCACGCGTTGCAAAAACTTTTTCCCATTTGATGTTGGCTCAGCTCTTATTTTTATTTGACACCATTTCTGGGTGAAATTGTTCGCACGGTCCGAGATTTTTGTAGAAATATTTGATTTTGGATATTTTTCCGTCTTCATTTCCGACCTGAGTGACTGGGAAAGAATTTTATTCATAATATCCCCGAAATTTAATGAAAAGACTTTAAATTGGTTACCCAAAAATAAACAAAAAAATGAAGTGAAAGCATTGTTGAAGTACTAAAAAATCGATTTAACGGAAAAAACTGAAATAAAATGAAAAACAAGAAAGAAAGCAAACTTCGGCAAGCCGAAGTTCATATACCCTTGCAGCTATTGCAAGAATTAAACATTTTTGAAAACATTAAAATTATAATTTACTTGCGTATAAGTTTAAAAACATTGAAGCTATGATGATTTGCAGCTCAATTATTTGATAGTTATTTTATATATTTTTATTGTTCCTATGGGAGCTATATGATATAGTCGTCCGACTTTGATGAAACTTAAACCGTAAATTGGAAATATTTAACCATTACTAAATGTCGAAGAACTAAACAAAAAATTAAAAAACAGAAAAGTTATAATTTTTTTTCATTTATTTCTCCGATTGTTCCTATGGGAGCTATATGATATAGTCGTCCGACTTTGATGAAATTTAAACCGTAAATCGAAAATATTTAACCATTACTAAATGTCGAAGAACTAAACAAAAAATTAAAAAACAGAAAAGTTATAATTTTTTTTCATTTATTTTTCCGATTGTTCCTATGGGGGCTATATGCTATAGTCATCCGATTTTGATGAAATTTTTACCATAATTCTGAAATATTTAACCATTACTTTATGTCGAAGAACAAAACAAAAAATTAAAAAACAGCAAAGTTATAATTTTTTTTCAATTATTTTTCCGATTGTTCCTATGGGGGCTATATGCTATAGTCGTCCGATTTTGATGAAATTTAAACCATAATTCTGAAATATATAACTATTGCTATATGTCGAAGAACTAAACAAAAAATTAAAAAACAGCAAAGTTATAATTTTTTTTCATTTATTTTTCCGATTTTTCCTATGGGAGCTATATGCTATAGTCGTCCGATCCGGCTCGTTCCGACTTATATACTACCTGCAATAGAAAGACAACTTTTGGGAAAGTTTCATGCAGATAGCTTTAAAACTGAGAGACTAGTTTGCATATAAACGGACGGACAGACGGACAGACGGACAGACGGACGGACAGACGGACAGACGGACATGGCTAGATCGACTCGCCTAGTGATGCTGATCAAGAATATATATACTTTATAGGGTCGGAGATGTCTCCTTCACTGCGTTGCAAACTTCTGACTGAAATTATAATACCCTCTGCAAGGGTATAAAAATATTTCCCATAGCATATTGACGAGTAGATAACACAATAAGAGTATTAAATGCCAGCACTCTTTTTACACAACATATCTTTTGTCAGATTTTTTTAGTCAGATTTAGGTTTTATTATGTCCCATGCTGTGGGCGCTATAAAAATGTAATAAATGGCACATTGTAAGCCTTTTTTAATGATAGACCATTCTGGCTGCCCCCTTTTTGCTTACTTTTCTCCCATTTGTACGTGTGTGTCTGTGTGGTTTGCCCCTTTTTGGTAAGTCATTATGCCTTTTTCAATTTGGCTTTGCACCTCGAGGAAATTGCTTTTTTGCTGCAAGAACATTAAAAGTGCGAAATTTAATTTCAGCCAAGGGAAAAGAGTTGAACGCGTAAGCCAAAGGCACAGGAAAAAGGATAAGACCGCAAAAGGATAAGGAAGGGGATTTCGACGCGCCACAACAACCGTAAATCCTCATTAAATGGCAATTCTTGCCGAGCACCTGTTGCAATGGAGCAACTTTATCTGCCGCAAACTATAATATCTGATTATTAAGTGGGAGAGCCATAACAATAGCAGCCACTTGGCACTCTAGAGCCAGGCACTGCGAAATGATGGCATCCGTCCGCCTTAACCCTTAGCCTCCCACCCGTTAACCCGCAACTCTTAGCGACTTTAAGTGCACTTTGTGCGGCTTTGGGGCTCGTGGCTTTAATCCCCCTAAATCGCCCGTGCTGACAAATTTCAACCACTGCCTGCGGATCGTAAAATGCAGCAACAGAGACAAATGGGTAGCCACAAACAAAGGCAATGGGAAATTAATTTCATTTCGCAAGAATGGGACTTCTTCCGGCCCCTTCCTTATTGTTGCAGTTGTAGCAGACAAGGACAGCAATGCTTATAGTATTTACAGCCAAGCTCGCGGCAGTCACACACAGAAATGTATGGTATGCTCTGCGCACTCAATTGGGTTTAGAGAAAAATTAATGTAGACAATAAGTCAGGCATTTCCAATTGTAATATCATAAATATTTTTTCACTATCCAAACTCTTTTCAAAATCTAAATTATAAAGAAACAAGAAAGAAAGCAAACTTCGGCAAGCCGAAGTTCATATACCCTTGCAGCTATCGCAAGAATTAAATATTTTTGAAAACATTAAAATTATGATTTACTTGCGTATATGTTTAAAAACATTGAAGCTATGACGATTTGCAGCTTAATTATTTGATTGTTCTTTTATATTTTTTTTTATTTGTATGGGAGCTATATGATATAGTCGTCCGATTTTGATGAAATTTAAACCATAATTCTGAAATATTTAACCATTGCTATATGTCGAAGAACTAAACAAAAAATTAAAAAACAGCAAAGTTATCATTTTTTTTCAATTATTTTTCCGATTGTTCCTATGGGAGCTATATGCTATAGTCGTCCGATTTTGATGAAATTTTAACCATAATTCTGAAATATTTAACCATTGCTATATGTCGAAGAACTAAACAAAAAATTAAAAAACAGCAAAGTTATCATTTTTTTTCAATTATTTTTCCGATTGTTCCTATGGGAGCTATATGCTATAGTCGTCCGATTTTGATGAAATTTTAACCATAATTCTGAAATATTTAACCATTGCTATATGTCGAAGAACTAAGCAAAAAATTAAAAAACAGCAAAGTTATAATTTTTTTTCAATTATTTTTCCGATTGTTCCTATGGGAGCTATATGCTATAGTCGTCCGATCCGGCTTGTTCCGACTTATATACTACCTGCAATAGAAAGACAACTTTTGGGAAAGTTTCATGCAGATAGCTTTAAAACTGAGAGACTAGTTTGCATATAAACGGACGGACAGACGGACAGACGGACAGACGGACGGACAGACGGACATGGCTAGATCGACTCTACTAGTGATGCTGATCAAGAATATATATACTTTATAGGGTCGGAAACGTCTCCTTCACTGCGTTGCAAACTTCTGACTGAAATTATAATACCCTCTGCAAGGGTATAATAAAACCGAAATGTTCTTATCCTTTTAAAATAATAACAATAATATCAGATCTAGAT